TGTCCACCATCACGAACACTGCTACCGCCACAACCTCGTTGTTCTTCACCACCACCCTGCCAGGCACCACTGTTGTCCAGACTCTCCCACCGGTGACGACTGTATTGACTCTCCCTGGCGCCGTGACCACAATCATTGCTCCTGGCACAACCGTGGTTAGCACTCTACCTGGGGTTGTGACTACTACTACTCTTCCAGGAATTGTTACCACCATCACTTCTCCTCCGATCACCACAACCGTCCGGTTCCCTGGAACTTCTGTTACTCTTACCCAGACTCTGGCTTGCACCGCTCGCGCAGCACCTACCCGGCCGTCCAGAAGTGTCCCCAAGGATTATACGTGGGGTTGTGCACCCGGTTACATATGTAATCCCAAGGACCGTTGCGATACCGAGCCTCCCCCAGCTGACGGCTACCTCTGTGAGCCTGACGAGTGTGAGGTTGCTCCGCCGCTTTGCCCGTACCCAGATGATTGGGGCCATGACTTCACTTCCAAAAAGGTTGGAACTTGGCTGATTCAGCCACCCTACTATCCTCTTGACCCAGGAATGTTTGGTCTGGACTGGTCCATCTTTTCGATCTTGGAGCGCAGGAGCATTGAGGATAGTGTTACAATGACCAAGAGGCAGAGCGGCACCCAGTTTTCTGCATGCTACGATGAGTGCGGTATGATATCCAATTATCTATTTCATTGTCCGAGCTTGAGCTGACTGCAATCCTTCAGACTCTGCCAATGTTAATGCCCAGAATCTCGGAAAGACCGCGAGACTTTGCCTGCCTGATTCGGCCTTTAAGGTCGCCTACCGCAATTGCCAGAAGTGTTTCGCCTTCCATGCCAGTACCGCAATGCCACAGCAGATGCCTGTTACTTCTGTTGAGCCTATTTACCGACAGTACATTAATTATTGTAATGCTAACTTCCCGGAAACTACGAGTACCTCAGGTGCAACTTCTTCTCGGACAAGTTCCTCACCGCAATCGCAGGCTACCTCTTCTTCCGCGCCGGCTAGTACTGTGTGTTAACACCACCCCCCTTTTGTTTGGTCCTTGGAGAAAACGCTAACCCGGGTTCCCATAAAAGCCTTCAAGCTCTGCTACACCTTCTGCGTCCCCAAGCAATTCACCAAGTTCATCTTCAGGACCAGTTTCTACGGTACCACCAACCTCTTCACCCGTGCCAACCACTACCGCCACACCCACCCCCTCTTCCTCTTCCCGCCCTACATCACCTTCCTCATCTACGGTAGTGAGTGTCTTGGGAGCAGGTAGCTCTACTTTGGGGACTTCCTCCAGTATGTCTCCCTCTTCCCCGCCACAGCGAGCTCTAGACTAGGGTCAGCCTCTTCCGCCACGTTAGAGGCTGTCTCTAGTCTAGTTCGTCCCTCCGAGTGCTAATATCCTCCTCAGCCTTCGCATCAAGATCTGGATCTTTGTCCGCATCTGTCTTTGCTTCTCCTTCCGCTGCTACTAATACCGGGTCTGGATCACCATCGTCGTCACCATCCTCGGCGGCCGGCGGTTTGAGCTCGTCCGGGCCATCATTGGCTGTGGTTGGCACCGGTACTGCGTCTTCTGGGCCGGTGGTCCCGACGGGCCCTGCGGCTAACTCGGTGGGTATCCATGTTCCACATTTGTTTAGTTACGATCGCTAACTCTCTCCACAGACCAGACCCACAACCCCAGGGAGCGGAAACGTTACTTCAACATCCAACATGCCACCTGTTAATACCGGCGGTGCCTCATCGGTTTCTCCAATGGGCTTTTGGGCACTGGCCTCAATTCTGCTCCTGAGTACATGGGCTCTCTTTTAATCCCCCCTAGCTTAGGCTCTGAGCCTTCCGTATATCATTGCATTATCACCATCTAGGGAATCGGACCTGGATGTGGAAAATAGGATAGAAATATGGGTTTTTTCCTTTCCATTTTTCCTTCATTTTTGTTAGCTGTGTTTCCGGTTGCGATTATGTTTTTCCTTTTACGTTTCATGCATACTCGAGTAATGGTGTCGCGCATTGGGTCGGTTAGTGTCCGATGCAGATGCGTGCGTATGTGGGTCCGTGGGCCGGGTTTGAATTGTGGCGACGGATTTTATTTGTCTGAATTCTTTTACACGCCTATGCGGAGGAATGAGATACGAAGCCTTCATGAGTTTAGTAACCGTGGAGGCGTGATGGTGGTATTTTTTAATGACTTTTTTCTTTGTTGGCTTATCGCCACGTTACGATCTCTAAGACAATGTACCGGTATGATATGTATGGTATTATATCATAGCTGATAACAAATATGCGGGGATGTCATATCATGCATGCTTGGGGGAGGGGAATGGAATGAGTGTTTTCGTGAAAGTGCAGGAGAAGGGAGAAAAGTGAAGGAAGAGGAAGGGTGAATTGAATTGTGTGGCTCGAGACGGGATTGGAGAGAGCGAGACTCGAGTACAGCAGTCTACCGGTATGCGGCCCGATTCGATAGAGCTCGGAGTACTCCACGGGGAGCCGTGCAGCGACAGCCCAAGCCTACCCGCCCTTTTTTGTGCTTCTTGGGGAAGGGAGGAAGTGGGGCTTTTTGTTTGTCTGTTTGTGGACAAGGGTATACTGCAATGTCATGGGTATGATTGAGTAAATTAGTTGTATATACCGGTATTTCAACATTCAGCTTCCCGCCACTTTACTGCACTCGAATCGGGACCAGAGTCTAGAATCACGATTCGCACTTTTTTCCCATCACCGCCACCGGTATGATGGTCGGGCACTGTGCGGTACTCGTACCATACCTCACCCATCAATTCCAGCCATTGAGTGTCGGGGCGATAATATCCCCCATACGGTGCCACGTAACTTGTACGGTACGGTATTCCCGAAACTCTCGACGCTTTCTATTATTATTATTATTATTATTCCCCCCTCCCTTACAATACCGTAAAGACTCCGAGTCGCTGTACCGTTACTCCATCGGACTGCACTTTTCTCGCTCGCTTCCGGGGATGTGGTCCAAGTACGGTACCGTACGAGTAGGTATGAATCATATCATAACCGGTACGGCACAGTACGGTACCGGTACCTGTACAAGTACGGTGCCCGCCGAGTGGATGAGTATCACATAGCGCCCACAATCCGAGTCAATCCCGCAATCAGCACATCCACGCCACCCACCACCGTACATGCACAAGTATCACACATACAGTAATAATAACGGGGCGCCATGCCATCTCCTCACTTTCATATCATACCTTTGTTACCAGTACCGGTATTCGCACTGTCCTGTACTTGTACCACCCAACCAGTCCACCACCACCCCCCCCCCTTTTTTTCTTTTTTTTTCCTTCCTTTTTCCTCTTTCCTTTTTCCTTTCCTCATCCCTCCAGCACAGCGCATCAACAATAATAAGAGTGGTAAGTTAGCACGAGTATTGTACCGGTACTGGATGATATGTACCGTACCGTAACGGAACTAACCACTGGAGAACGGGTGTGTGCGAGATGGCATGGCATGGCATGGCATAGCAAGCCGTAAGCAGCATGCAGCGTATCGGGACACGAGTACAGTGCAGTACATATCGTGGCTGAATTTCAACACTGAAGGGACGAAAAGAAGAGATTGGCTTCTTCGTCTGGCAATTTTCTTGCTTACCGAGTTGAGTTCTCCTACCCGGTGGTTTTTTTGGGCGGTCGGGCCAGCACCCACCTGTGGAAGGTTCCTTCTTGGGAGGTGGGAGGTAACCACGAGTATTGGTGTCACGGGAAGGAAAGAAAGGGTCAAGGATCGATCACGCTACTGTGCCAGAGAGGGAGGGGCTGAAGTGCTGTGCTGTGTTGGGTCCTGACCTGACCGGGACTTGCGCGGCTGAGGTCTACTGGTACTCGTACCGGACCATCCGTGACTGGTAAACGTGATTGACGGGAATTCCCTCACTTTTGTCACCCTTATTTTCTTCTTTTCTTCCCTTTTTCCCCGCCTTGTTCTCTGGGCATAATACGACATCGTACGTGCAGGGGTACCGGTATACTCGTAGCAGCACTATTTGCGGCTCTACTCCCAGAGTTTGGTGGGTGCAACTGTTGGACTTCTTGAGCCTCCGGTGCTATGCGGTGCCGGTAATTTACGGGGATGAGTCCTCAGCAGCCCATCATGATTGGCGGGAACGGGTGGAACGGTGGAGCGGAGCGGATGCATTTGGAGTGGGTGCATTTTTTTAATTTTTTTTTTAGTTTAGGGAAAGGGGAGAAAAGTGTTAATTGATTAACATTTCATAAGTAAGGTTGTCCCTCCTTCCTTCCCCGGCCTCGCATGATGGATGGATTGGGGATCTGCGATGTGGGTTCTTGGGAAGCGGGGGGAGGCGGGAAGGGGAAGGGGAAGAGAAAGAAAAAGTGGGGGGGGGAGGGTTATTACGAGTAGGATTTGGTTGCCTGGCGGGTGTGGAATAGTGATCCGATGCGATATGATACAGGCACTATCATAGCCGTGAAACGTTACTCTCTAGCCGGAAGTACCGTAAAAACTCGGTATATCCACTATCGGGGATCGGGCCTTGGCGGTTGCAACAGGGGTTGTGCGCAATAGTGCCAAGGGATCGAGTGATCGTCCATGACCGGGAAATGAGGAACTCGCACAGACTCTATCAAATTCAGCTTGAGTCACGGTAAGTCAGGTATAAACTGAAAGAAGGGAAGAATGTAGAATAGTCTGAAATACATTGTGACTCTGCAATTGTAGACTTAAATGTAGGAGTCATAGTAGCAGGCGAAGAATGACTGAATTGTAATTCTGTAAAATAGGTATTAGCACAAGTGAATTTCGAGAAGTGAAGACCATATAAAGTAGGAAGTGTACGATAGAATAGATAAAAAGATAGAAATACCAGACAAAATGCCACCAATCCGAAGCCCCAAACACCAGCGAGGGCCAAAAGCCAAGTCAATCAGCGAGCGAATTCTACTGCCAAATCAATTAAGACCAATTCGATATCCAGAACGAACGTATAGCCAATTCCAGAAACTCCGAGTGCTTACCTTTCTTGAACATCATCGAATACCACTAGCCCGAAGGGGGGAATATCGGCCACCAACGCAACAAGAAGCCTCCGACCTATATAAGATTCCCCAGCGAACAATTAGCGACTGGGTACGACAAAAGGGGGTAATTGAGGGAAGTGGGAGGAACTCAGCTGTGAAAAGGGTAGAGGAGGTGCGAGTGGGCTATACTAAGCGAGTTCAATGGCCAGAGTTAGAAGATAGACTCTATAGTGATTTTATAGAGCGGCGGAAGGGAGGACGAACAGTAAGGCAGGGGTGGTTTCGGATCCAGTCCCAGTTCCAATTTCGAGCGATGTACCCCGATGTGAACCCAGCCATTTTTCGATTCAGCAATGGGTGGTTTCGAGGCTTTCTAAGCCGCCACAAGATTAGTCTTCGGAGTATCACCAAAAAAGCCCAAAAGATTCCAAGCGATTACGAAATACTTATCCTAAATTGGCTCTGATTCAACCGGAGAAACTCACAGCCAAGGACCGATCGGTTTTGGGAGGTTGCTGTGGAACGACCAGTAGGCCGGTACGAGTTGTCGAATATATGCAACCTAGACGAAACACCATTACCCTTCGAATACCTAGAAGGGAAGACTTACGATCTGGTGGGGGAAAAAACAGTTTGGGTAAAGGAGAGCCGTTCCGGATGGGACAAAAGACAAGCGAGTCTTGTCTTATGTGTTTTTGCAGATGGAGTACCCCGGGTGCCGCCAATGATTATATTTCGGGGAAAGGGAACGAGGTTAGGGGGAGAACGAGAGTGGTATCACCCGGAAGTCTTAGTCGAGTATAATCCTACTGCATATATGAACGATAAGCTATTTGAAAATTACATCACTACTCATCTTATTCCTGTTCTCGGTGGCCGACCAACCCTCTTCGCTATTGATTTAATGGGTTCACATAAAACCCCCGCCGTTCTCAAACTTCTCCGAAACAACGACATTACCCCCTCCCTCATCCCTTCGGGCTGTACAGGTCTCGTCCAGCCCCTTGATGTGTCTATCAATAAGCCACTCAAGGAGCTGGTACGAGACCTTACAGATCAGAAGATATTTGATTTAGAGTCGGCGGCGGATTTTGAGAAGTGGACTGTTGGGGACCGCCGGGTTATGACAACCCAATGTGTTGGAGAAGCTTTTAGCCAGTTTCATACTACAAAAGCTAATTTGATATCACGCTCCTTTCACAAAACTGGCTTATCCCTTCCTATTGATGGAACCTTGGATTCTGAGTTGGATATAAAAGGATTTACAAACTTCGAGATTGGGGATTGGAGGGAAGATTTTGTATTACCAGATGAGAGGGCAGATGTACATGATGAGGATGATGAGCTTATAGAAGTTGTAGAAAATCAGGACTAATAATACATGTTTACTCTTAGATGGTCGGCAATTGACTCTCCCCTCATACTCATGGCGGTATGAAAACTGACGTTCAAAAGAGCTAATTTTAGCATCATCGCCGATCACTCGATCTCTTGGCACTATTGTGCACACCTAGTTGCGCAACTGCCAAGCCCCGATCCCCGATAGTGGATATACCGAGTTTTTACGGTATGACACCTCGTCTATCTGCTATATATTTCCGAGTGATTAGTAGTGAATTTGTTGTTTGCATCATACGAGTAATATGATACTGTGCGAGTACAGTACTCGTACTGTGGCTGTGGCTGATTGTCTGTGGCGGGTGTCAGGCATCATACTGTACCGGGTAACCATGCTTACCACAACAAGTCAAGCCCGGTGACGTATTCTAGCGGCACGCCCACCAGTCCAAGCTTTCTTCCCGTTTCCCATGAACGGGATTCGCAGCTGAGACCTGGTTCCGCCCGCCATTGAAGAAAGGGCTTTGACGACGTCGTGTCGTGGCATTCTCAAACACGTTCGCTATCTACCCTACCCGCATTCACACCCTCTATCCCCCACACGCTCTCCTGTTGCATCGTGGGAAGGTGGTTTGATACTGTGCCTGAGATCGCGAGATTAGATTACTTGTCGCAATGCTGGAATACCTGCCCTGGAGGAAAAAGGCCGGAGAACCCGCCGCCGCCTCTGCCGTGTTGACCCATAATGAGTCTGCGGGGAAGCTGGCCACTGCTGCTACCACAACCCCGACACCGGAATCCCCCAAACCAGTCCTGTCCCACCACGACGAAGAATTCCTGAAAAAGACGCTCCAAGACACCGATGATCAGCCCGTCGTTATCCTTGAGGGCTCGGGGGCCAGCACCCCGATCATCTCCCCGAGCACCACTGCGCTTGCCCCCGAGACTCCGGCGGCTGTTATTGCGGGCGTGAAGGGCGGGGGTAGGAGGAGGAAGGAGAAGGAGGAGAGGGCAGCCGAGTGGAGGGAGGGGATCAGAAATCGGTGGGAGGGGCTGAGGAGGTCTGCATCTAGCGCTGTCGATAAGGGGAGGGGGAAGGGGAAGGCGGAGGAGGGGGATACTGAGGGGAAGGGAAAGGGGAAGGAGAGGGAGAGGGTGGAGGAAAGTTTGGAGGTCAGGGAAGGTTTGTTGCTTCTCCGTAACGGGGGCGATGGGCGGGTATTGATTTGTGGATCGCAGAGGAGAAGAATGAGGAGGAGGACGAATTGAGGAGGGTGCTGGATGGCTTGAATCTTGCCGCGGAGGGTGTACGTTTCCCCTCTTCTTCCTCAAACAATCTGTTCCTTCTAACGATATACGCCACGATGCCAGGGCCGTGCCTTCTCCATCTCCCCCGCAACAGCCCAACTTCTCGATCGCTTCACGCAAATCCTCAAGGACCTTGCCAACGGCGTTCCAACAGCATACAATGATCTCGTAGAGGTAATTCCTTTCTTGTTTCCCCGATTCATGCGTAGATCGCGAACCATGCTAGACGAGTACAGCTTTTTACGGTTACAATCTTTCTCGTTTAACTTTCCTTTGGCTATGTGATGGACTAAAGCTAACCCCCCCCCACCCAGCTCCTCGAAAGCTCTTCCAAAACCTTGGAGGAAACATTCAATTCCCTGCCCAGCTTCCTGCAAAAGATGATAAAGACATTCCCAAAGAAGATGCAAGCTAACTCGATGCCTGACCTCCTTCGTATATTCCCCCCCCCCACGCCCCGTGAACCATCAGTCTGACAAAAACTATCAAGGCACTGCAGCACCCGCAGCCCCCATCACTGCCGCAGGGGCGGAGAAGCTATCTTCGATCCCAAATCTCCGGGAGATTGTTACAAAGCCGGGATTGCTGATGGGAATGCTAAAGAGTGTTATCAACTTGCTCAAGACTAGGTTTCCGATGGCCCTTGGGGGCGCGAATCTGGCGATTAGTATGGGGCTGTTTGGTGAGCATATAGATCTTTCGCAGCTCGGGGTTGAAGGGGGTAGGGGTAGGGCTGACGGAAGTGTCATAGTTGTCCTGTTTGTCCTCTGGTATTGCCATAAGCGTGGCAGGGAGGAGAGGCTTGAGAGGGAGAGGCTCGCGGCTGAGGCGCTAGCCGGGGGTGAGGAGGCAGCGACGGGATCGGTGCCGACGATGGTTGCGCAAGCAGAGGAGAAGTGATTCCGGTCCGCGCCATTGGAGAGCTGGGGTGACCGCGGGGCCGGTTGGTATATATGATGCAGTTGATGTGGGCACGTGCAATGTCTTGCCATTCGCCCTTCTTGTCTCTTTTTTGTTTGTTTTTAAAGACTTGGTATCACACATTTCCTTTGTTTGCTCGCGCTTGGGATCACGTTCCCTTGCTTGTTTTCCGCTTGATGTGGCGATATCCTCTTGCAAGTACCGTACGGTACCGTATATGATGGTGTGAGTGGTTGTGTTGTCTATCTTTGAATTTCCAGGAACAAAAAGTTGTTGAAAGTAGTCTTCTCGTAGAGTCTGTTGCGGTAGATGGCAATGATTGAAATGGTGGAAAGGCGGTTAGGGTAGCATTCTTGGAGCAAACGGAGCATGCCGGAGGGAAGGTCCGGTGGTGGAGCCGTCCCGCAAACCCCGGGAGAAGTGGCCAGGAGTGTATGATGGTATCATAGCGATGGGCAGAGGGCCCAACAACGGGTGTTGGGTGGCGGTGGTGGTATCATAACGGCGTATAAATCATAATTATCATCTCTAATAAACAGGTTTTCAACCCTCATAGTATGATACGGTATCAAAGCGCCCTGTCACTCTACCGATCATAGGCGTATCTTCCATATCATACCCACACTCTGTACAGTATTCGTATATGGCAACGGAATCGCGGGAGGGAATATTATAAAGATTGATGGTTCACTTTTTCGGCGGACCCGTTCACCGCGAGCACCACTACGTTGCCATAGATTGTTGTTTGAGGGGTATAAGTTATCATACCTTGGGGGATAGATATCATGGAAAGGGTGACCTGGGTGGGGGGAGGGGATACACCTGAGGTCTTTTGATCGTGACCCTGGGGATCTACTAGTACTCGTACGGTGCAGTATCATACTAGTACTTGTATCATACTGGGGTGTTTGCTCGGACCATCATAGGTGGTGTTACTGTAATGTCCACCAAGTCGAGGCGGTTAATTTATCAATGTCCTGGAAGGCGGTCTCGACCGTTGGTTCCGTCAAATGATGGTAAACTACGGCATGTTCCCGATCTGGTATGATTGTACAGTACTGTACTCGTACGGTGCCTTAACACTGCGATTGAAAAGAAAAAAGAAAAAAAAGAAAAAAACTTGTGGAAATAAGGAACGCTGGAAAATTGTTTGTTTGTTCTATTTATTGGCACTTTTTTGGGTATCCCCTTCCCGTTCCCGCGTCGTCGTTCATCTCATCCATCGTTTATAATACCGGTATAGGACTGAGGTATATCCCAGCACGGTCTGGGAAATGTAACTAAGTTTTGAATGGAATCCTAAGAGCGCAACTCTACCCCCCACAATCCATCCATCCATCCATACATACTAGTACATGCATGCATCCATGCCACTTGGACAATTTTCCCATATTATTATGATGTTATTATTATCATTATCATAGCACCCACCCGTCATACCCCACCCGCCCCCAATACGGTACTCGTACTGTACTGGTAGATGTGGAATTTCTAGGATGCATGGATGAGCTCTATCTATTTCCGTCCGGCGCACTTGCGGTTACTGTATGGAATCTTCCCTACGGAGAGTTACGCAATGCAATCTTCCCTGCACCGATCCGTCGATCCCACATCACTGGACGGGGAATCGTGCCTGCCGTGCCGTCGTCGGGTATCGTGTATCCGTACCGGTTACTGGCTCGACTTGCTTGTATCATACTCGAGTATACTTGTATTACGCTAATGCGCTGTGATACTACTCGAGTACTCCGGGTGAGGGGGTGCGGGGTGCCGGCCCCCCCCCCCGTCCGGGACCGGGGTTGTAGGTAAAGTTAGGTCTCTTTCTCTCCCTCTTTCTCTCTCTCTCTCTCTCTCTCGGGTGTATGGGATGGAGATCGGTCCTGTGTTGTGGGGTGGTATTCCAAATACTTGCTTTGTTGTTCTAGTATCATAAAGTGTAGTCAGATGTACCTACCTATGCAGACTGGTGATGGATTGGGGGATTGATTGATCGATAGATTGCTCCGAGCGTGTCCGGCCGGCGTGGCTGAGCTGATCTGAGCTGAGCTGAGACGCTGTACAGTACCGTACCGTAACTCACCGCAACTGTATCATGCTGTACGGTACGGTACCGCTGTCGTGTACTCGAGCACAGTACTCGGCACTTCCGGAATACACCATGGATTCGAGAATATCGCCGTTTCTATCCACACCTTGCGAGGTTTTTTTTTTTTTTTCGTCATCAGGTTTGGAGAAACCTTTGAGCGCCTCGCTGGGCGAAAGGTATGACACCACTCGTAATATTCCTGCTGTGCCCGCGCTTGCGCTACCCACTACTCTGTTCGGGGAATTGTCCCCGACTCTTTTTTTTTTTTTCTTCTTCCCCTGTCCGGGGGGATTGCGGCGCCAAGTTCTGCACCGCGCTGCACTTGGACGGTGTAGTATATGTATCATAATGGTAAAGGTGCAATGCTGTACTGTAGACTAGCCTACACTTTGTTTGTCCGATTCGCTCAATTAGGGTAATATCCCGCGCCACGGGAAGCTATTGCTGCTATCATACCGAATCGCGAGCTTGATATGATGTTTTCCTCTTCACGCGGGGTATTTACCCACCCGCGTGGAAATAAATAAGTAGAAAGGTAGGGGTTTCCGGAAGAATTTGCTTGTTCCGAGGTTCCTTATGGTTAGCTATGGACTTTCTAGATTGGCATGATATAATACTTGTGTTTGTACAGTACAGTACCTGCTTATATTACATTATTCAGCTACCACCTGCGCGAATTCCCCATCCGCCAAATATGGTATTTTGGACATGTCCGTCCTTGGCTTTGGTTTGGGGGGGTAGGATTTCTAGACCCCCCCGGTGGCGTGATGTGATGTGATGTGCATCTTTGGATTCCGGCTCTCGCTCGGATGTATGTGTTCATTCGGTGGGGGTTCGGAAGCGTTGTTGGTAACGGTGGAGGTGAATTGTCCGTGTTCACTTCTCCTTCTTCCTAATCCTGTGCGGGCTGGTTGGAGCTGTGCAGTTTTTAATGGGTGTCGAGAGTTGGTCGGTTGGTTGGTCATGGTTGGGAATCACGAGTGCAATGTGAAGGAATTCTTGCTGATGCGGGTACCCTTTGCGTCCGGGGTTTGCGGGGTGTGCGGTGTTGATGGGCTGTTCTCTTATGATGCTATGATATACAGGACCGTTTCTGGGGTGGAGCGAACGACTGGATGGAAGCTCTTTTCGGGGCCGTCATTGAAACTCACTCGGTTGGGTTGGGGATTTGGAAAGTCTTCTTTTTCTTTTAATCTGATGATTTATGATGATGTTATTTATTGAAGCCTTCGTCATGTGACGATATATGTATGAAAAAAAGTTGAAATATTTTTTTACCATTGTGACATGCCCAAAAGGCCCTTGTTCTATATTATTGTCTTTTGCTGGAGGTGATTTGTTCCCGGGGTCTTGAGTGCGGCACAGTTTTTGCTGAGCCGGCCATCATGGATTGATAAGATTGCATAACCTCCAGAGTCGATAGACCGAGTGATATCCCACGCGTGCACAGTATCATACACTCGCCTAGGCAAAAGTTCCCGCCAGGTCCTCGCCCATCTTCCACTAGAAACTTGCAGAGGTCATCGACTGGCAAAAGAAACAGACGGGGAAAAGAATTTTGTGGAGTTTTGTGAGTCGTGAATTGATAGGATCTGTGCGCTGAGGTTCTAGCACCGATTCGTTTTGTATGTATGCAGTTATAACGGGTGATTTCATATTCTTTTATATGCAGAACTGGATATAACAGTTAAGATCTTCGATGCCACGGACTGTCAAGTACATGAACATGATGAGGTAAAGCACACAAAGGCTTCTCGTATCCTGATGTAATTTTTTCAAGCTCGTTTTAAAGTGTTGAAAAGAAGCGAAATTGCATAAAGCCACAATACTGACATTCGGAAAGTATACTGTTTTAGTTTAAATTTCCTACCTTGAACACTTTCCAGCTCAATGCCTCACCAGCTTCTGAGCAGGTCTACATCATATATATATCGTTGGGCCCGCTGTTTGAAGGGTTTCCACAATCTTAAGGATTTGATTGGAGATCGGTCAAGGAGGGAAGGAGGAAAGGAGGAAAGGGGGGAAGAGTCTTCTTCAAGAGTGACCGTGAATGCCCCACCTGCGAAATTCACCTATGCCTTCAAGCTGTTTCTTTATATCCAACTGGAGAGCTAACGCTAATGCTCGGGAGGGAGTGAAAGATGTGGAAGTAGTACTGCTTCGACGGGACATAGCTGACCTGCCCGGGAAAGGGAAGAGTGCGTTATAGCATGGTGGGATTCAATATCTGACCATTACTTCACAACTCATAGGGTAGATACTTAGGTTTGTGTCTCTATTGTCTGGTGACTGTGTTTGGTGCAAGTACGTATGGTGGTTTATCCAGGATAGGTAAGGTATGGGGCTTCCTGTGATTGACATTTACCTTTTTGGTGTGTGATATGATGTGATATTTTTCTAATCCTGTTTGATCGCCTTTGTAGATATGATGCTTGATAATGTGTGGCGTTGGGAACCTTTTTTTACTAATGGTATAAACATTGTTATCTAGGGGTTTGAATGAAGCATCACAAACCACTGTTATCACAACTGGTGTGCCATGAATACTCCTTGGCTTGGTGAGAGGTGAACAAGTGGTGCATTCTATTGCAGCTATCATATATCGGATAGAAGCCTTGGTCTCTAGGGACTCACAACAATTAAAGATTTGCTCCCATGGGATCCTCTTGCTATCCTTATCACAACATTATACCCCTCTCCCTACCGGCTCAGCCCCACAAACTTCCTCACCCATGCCAGTGGCCTCCTCACCCACCCGCCACGGCGCTTCCTCGCCCGCTGGTCGCGGCTCAATCTTTGCTCCCTGGCTTCGCTTTCCCCGACCCGTGCCCGCTCTGCTTTCTGCCTCATGAGCTCGTCTAGCGACTCAAAAAGATCAATACCCTCACAACTCAGAAACACACTGACTACTTCCTCCCTGTGCCATTGAATAGGAGGAAGCGGTGTTGGCCAATAAGCGTAATTCACCAGGTTTACCTCCACCCGCTCATCCATTACTAGCATCCTCGCAACCACCTCGTGTCTGTTTATCACGGCCCAAACCACTGCTGTGAAGCTGTAGCCTGTTTCGTAGTTGACGTTGATGTCTGGGTGGTCTAGGAGGAGGCGGACCACCTTGTCATACCCGTTCATGGCAGCCATGGTGAGGGGTGTCCCGCTGTTTCCGTCTTTCGTGACGTTCACGATCACTCCCGGATGGGAGAGTAGGAGCCTGACTGCTTCTTCGTGGCCCTTTGTCGCTGCGATCAGTAGGGGAGTTTGACCGTCCCCGTCTGGGGTGTTGGCATCTATTCCTGGCTGGGGGAGCAGTAATTTCATGACAGGTGCGTTCCCGCAGCTTGCTGCCACGAATAGTGGTGTCTGGCCGTCGTGCGATATACTCCCCACTTCAATACCACATTCTAGAAGCTTTCGTGCAACCTTTTCGCTCTGGGTTTCTATTGCGTCGTTGAGGAGCCTGCCCGTGCCCACCAGTTGGAGGATGCCTCTTTTGATAAGTCTTTCCACAGCTGCTTCGTCTTCGCGCTCTATCGCCGAGTAGAATGCTTTCATACCCCGTTCGGTGAGGTGAGGGGTGCATACTGCATCCAGGAGAACAGGGGTGAGGAGGATTGCAAGGCGCGGGTTAACCCTGAGTAGGGAGTTGAGATGGTGGATGTCGCGGCTGAGGTATTGGCAGATGTCCAGGATTATTTCGGGTGGGAGACCAGAGAACGGCATAATGTTCTTTCACACACCGGAGCGTCCTGGGAATTTGTCTGCGAGTTCCACAGTGGCGGTGTTCCCGTGTCGGAATCGAGAGAGGGAGGATGAGAAATCTTTTGGGTAGTGATTACTTGTACCTCCAAGAATTGTCGCAGATCCATTAACTTTGCCCAGCCCAGCACTGGCACTATTCTGGCAGGCTGGGAAATTTGTTCGTACATATATATTACTCTCGCTTATTTAGGAATAGTGCTGATCGTGGGGGACACATCGGATCTTAGCGGTATCACATGTTCCACCTATTTCAATGACTCGTCAACATGCAGTTTCCCCAGCGTACTCATGAATCGAGATGAACCATGATTGGCTTCCTCGCCACAACTCAATTCATGACGGCGTTCGAAGCTCTCACGAGTAGCTCTCAAAGTCTCCAATCCTGAAAAAAAGGGGGAAGAAAAGTGAGGGAAGTATCAATCAAGTTGTAATTAAATTGTTATTATTTTGGAAATAAATTACACATCCGATTGGAGTCTACATAATGGACAGAAAGCCAGGCGGATAGACAAATAGATAGATAGACAGACGGGCGATTGAGTACTCGCGGGGCCCAAAAGTATTATTAACTATCATCCATTATGCCCATTTAGTCTGCTAATGCCCATGTCAGATTTAAAGCTCGGGTTATGGACTATGCTAACCACGTAGGAGGTACAGCGCAGTGCAGCACAGTAAAGTACCGACCCGGTGCTGCTATTAACCATAGAATAAATAAACAACATATCATACTACGAAAGGTACGATCACACAAATGATACCCGCCACCACCCCTATCCTTCCAAATTATAATGTAATAGACCTTTGCGCTTTCTAATCACCGGTTGCGCTATCGCCCTTGTTTGCAAAAGTTTGCTAGACATGAGTGTCCCAAGCGTACCGCCACAAAATCTAGGAAGAAGTTAGGTAAGTAAGTAAATAGATAAAATGAAAAAAATAAAAACCATACTGAAAGGGTATGATACAGCCCGGGACAGCCCTTCCATCGACTCCACTCTCTCTCTCCATGCACCCCCCCCCCCCCCCCCCCCAAACCCCATTTACATCTACTGCACAGTCCTTCCTTCCCTAACATCAAGTAGTGGATGTTCGACATGTCGCTGTAGCACTCACCATGTCATGGGTGGAATTCACAGTCAGCCGGTCAGTCACCAGTGTACTCACGAGTGATCATACGTGATACACAAACTATTGGAAGGAAACCCAACCCTCCCGACAGGGCAATATGATAATACGGTATCATAGTACAACTACCGGTGATGGACCTATAACCGTGCATTTGGACAGAAACTGCAGGGGAGTCCGCGCCGGTATATTTCAATCTGGCTCGGACCTTGAAGTCTTTTTCTATCGTGGCACATGCCTAACAGGTCCTTGGTTTTATTTTTATTTTTCGGGGGGTGGTTTTGTTCCCGGGGTCTTGAGTGTGGTATCGTATCGCCGAGTCAGCGATCGTGGACTGGTCGGGTGAGTTATGATATGATGGGGTCAGATGGGATGGCCTCTGTTGTGATATTGCCAGGGTTGTTAGGAACTTCCTGATAACCACATGCCAGAAGCATTCCGGATGAATGTGAGGAGGTACAAGGAATGGTATGAATTGGAAAGAATGTAGCCGGTTGTTGGAATGAGGACGAGGAATGGTATGGATTGAAAGGAATGGGATCACTTGGTGGACTCGGATATCTGGTCGCTTGGATTCTCTGTAGTATATAGTGGTCATCTACTTCAGTGGTAGGAAGGAAGTGAATTAAGTTAATAAGAAAAGACTTCACAATTCTTGCTCGCTCAAGATTATATCCTTCCCCGAAATAGTGCCCAATTGAATTCTCCTCTTTACTCCACCTAAAATCTCCTTTCAACTTCAGGTTATGAGCCCGGAGCCTTCCTGATAATCCTAAAAGCCCCCCCCCAAACTCGCGAAAGACCAGCAACAGCCTATCCAACCTACCCAAAAACTGTCCCTAAGATGCTCAACCAC